TCTGGAGCACAGCCCTGCCCAGGACTGGAATCTGCCTACAGCTCCTCAGGCCCCTCCTACCTCTGGGCCTCAGCACGCTGGGCCCCTGGTCTGGAGCACAGCCCTGCCCAGCCCCTCCCCAAGCTATGTTCACACAGATGTCTGTCCCCATGTCCAAGCCCCCACTGGACGTGGCACCTGGTATGTGCCAGCAACGGCAATGCCGGGGGACCCCTGTGCTGTCCTGGGGCGGACCCCAGTGCTGTCCTGGGGCGGACCCCACTCCTGCGGGTCAGAAGCATGAGTAGCATCAGAAAGCCTCACTTCATGTGCAGGGAAGTCCTGCACGTGTGTGCCGTGCACAGGCTGCAGTAGCTGGCGGCCTGGCCGTGATCCACAGGGGTGCCCTGCACCTGGGCCCCTCCCAGGGCTACCCTCTCCACTCCTGATGCAGCCATCAGATGAGCAATCCAGAGTGGGCCCAGCCCGAGGCAGGCCCAAGGAGCCACCCGCCAGCACCCCACCCTGCCAGCCAGATCTCACCTCCTAAAGTGCTCCACCCTCCTGGCCGTCTTTGTGGTGGGTGTGTGGGGTCTGGAGGCTAGAACCACAGGAGAGGCCCAGCCCCACCCAGGCTGCTGGATGGGGGCACCAGGGCCACATACACTCTGAGGCAGCTGCCCAGGGACTCTGTGCCATTTGAGGCCCTCCAGCTGAAAGAACCCTTAGGCTTCGCCTGGTGCGAGAAGAGGGGTCCCTGCTGGGACAGTCAGACCTGACTCCAGCTGAGCCCCCAGGAGGCAGCTGGTGCCCAGCTCTGTGAGCAGCACGGGCTCCAGGCCAGGTTCAGCCCCACGTGTCTCAGTCTCCAGACTGGGTGTTGGCTCCCGACCTTGCCCTGACCTTGGGGAGCCCGGTCCACACCCCAGGCCGCTACGAGACCTGTCTGACCTATCAAAGCCACCAGGACACTCCACCATGAGAATGTGGGGACCAATTTTCCCACAAAAAGCTAAGTGTGCCTGTGGGCGCACTTCACAGCCCAGAGCACAGGGCCAGAGGCCCCCTGTTCAGATCCTGTTCAGGCCCTGGTCCCGTTAAGGTCAGGGCAGTGCCACAGAACTGGGACCACTCCCACCTTTTTGGGAGAGAAGACGCCCAAGGTGCCGCCATCCTCCCTCATGGCCACGCCCATCTCGGCCAGCAGGGCTTCCCTGGAGGAACAGAGATGAAGTCAGCACAAGCTCCACAAGGCTTCCTAGCCTCGGGCCTGGCTGACCAATGCGGGCAGCAGGCCTGTGGCCACCGTAGCTTGGGTGGTACCCATGTGTGTCCCATCTGGTCAGTGGGTCAGGGCATCTGCCGATGAGATCGACCCCTCTGTGCCACGGACAGGGATCAGGTCTATCAGGCCTTGGTGGCCAGCAGCCAGCAGTACACAAGGTAGGGGGGCCCTGGGGGCGAGGGAACAGGTATGCCCCGGGCTGGGATGTGGCCACCCAAGGTGCAGGTGCCCAGTACTGGAGGGCAGGGCCCAGTATTCATCCTGCCCAGGCTTCGTGCTGGCTGCGCCCCTCCCCGGGCCTCAGTTTCCCCACCACACACCTCTCCATCCGGATGGCTTCCGTCCGCCGCAGCTTCTCCTCCCAGGTCTCGTTGAGCTCGGCTATGATCTTCTCTGTTTCCTGGGGATTGAGGCAGAGCACAGTGAGCTGCCCAGGCTGGGGTCGGGGGAGAGGACGATGGAGGCGGGTGCCAGGAGAAGGGGCTGCAAAGCACAAGAGCCCGTGTTCCTGGGCCCGTCCGACACATGAGTGTCCGGAAGACCACGGTGACGCTCAGAAAATGTGCGTCTTTCCCTTAGACACACTCAAGAAAACGGGGGAAACACGTGACAAATCTGGAGGGGATGAGAAGCAAACACTCCTGGGAGATGCTGGGCCTCAGCTTCTAAGACGCAGCCGTCCTCACCGCTGCCCCGAGCCCGGGTGCTCGCCCCCTTCACGACACGGACAACGCTGCCTGGCAGCCGTCTGGTCTCTCCCGTTTCTTCTACCCGAAGCCCAGTGGGACCCAACACCCCAGCGGGACCCTAACACCCCAGTGGGACCCAACACCCCAGCAGGACCCTAACACCCCAGTGGGACCCAGCACCAGAGTGGGACCCAACACCCCAGCGGGACCCTAATACCCCAGTGGGACCCAACACCAGAGTGGGACCCAACACCCCAGCGGGACCCTAATACCCCAGTGGCACCCAACACCAGAGTGGGACCCAACACCCCAGCGGGACCCTAACACCCCAGTGGGATCCAACACCCCAACGGGACCCTAACACCCCAGTGGCACCCAACACCACAGTGGGACCCAACACCCCGGTGGGACCCAACACCCCGGTGGGGCCCTAATACCCCGGCGGGACCTAACACCCCAGCAGGACCCTAACACCCCAGTGGCACCCAACACCATGGTGGGACCCAACACCCCGGTGGGACCCAACACCCCAGTGGGACCCTAATACCCCAGCGGCACCCAACACCACGGTGGGACCCAACACCCCAGTGGGACCCAACACCAGAGTGGGACCCAACACCCGGCGGGACCCAACAACCCAGCGGGATCCTAACACCCCAGTGGGACCCAACACCAGAGTGGGACCCAACATCCC